CTCTTTCAAAATAGTCACCTTGAGAGACCAGACACTCATGAAATTATTAGGATTCCCCTTTGGGATCTGTCTTCAGAACAAGGTTAGACCTCTTCCATCCCCTGCAAATCTACCACATTTTGTTATGGCTTTGTGACCCCCATTTCACCCACCTTCCTCAATAGCCACAACTCCATATACCCTCTGACCATCTTTTGTTGGAGTTTGAAGATTTGCCGCCCCTGAGGAAGTGCTGCTAGAGGAAGGAGAGCAGGGTTTTGGAAAGCAGTGTGCAGCGAAGAGCCCAAAAATGGCCTGAACCATAACACTGCCCTTGGACTAAGTGCCCATCCCTGAGACACTGCTCTGAAGGAGGTGGCCTTCCCCTGTAGCATTGTGTCTCGTTATAGCCAGACCATGGACTCCTTGGGGTGAGATCCAGGGCAAACACCTCAAGCCACTACTTCCAGGGTTGATGAGCAGTGCAGGCTTCAAAACTGCGCATCATGATTCATCTCTAGGGTGAGTATGGCTTTGGGGGTCTCAGAATCTTCCCCACTGGGTAAGGGTCCCCAGACAAAGCCAGAAAAGACTAGTGGCACAGGCGCCCATGAGAGGTGGGTCAAGGAAAGGTCTTCCCATGATATGCTCTCGGAGTAGGGAGCTTGTACACAGGGCCATGGCAAGGCCACATTCTTTATCCCTCTACAGTGGGACCCAAGAGTTTCTGACAGCTGCTCCAGGCCCCCAGGCCAATGGTACTCGACTTAAACTGTTTTGGTACTATGACCACAACAAAACAGTTTAAGGAAGAAATCTCATAAATGACCACTGCCTTTTTTCCATCTCCATAAAAATTATTTTCTCCATCTTTTCGGTGCTTCTTAATTCAAGCAGCTTGACTTTAGAGAAAGTACAGGACCTATGAAGCCACTCATGTGCTGTGTGACTTTATGCAGGTCACTCACCTCACTGAGCCACCTGTTTCTTCATCTGTGAAATGCACATAACAGTAATACATAACCCTACCTACCTCACAGGGCTGTTGTGAGGATCAAATGAAATTATGTAAGAAAACCATGTAAATGATAAATGGTTGTTATTTGTATCTGTTTATAAGGGAAGAAACCCTGGCTTTGGGGTCAGACTAACCTGAGTTTGAATTCTGACTTCTTCACTAGCTGTATAACTTTGGACAAGTTACTGGCCTTCTCTGTCTTGTTCCTCATTGGATAATAATTCCATCTCCCAGGGTTACACTTCAATGAGGTGCATTTGAAAATTCCTAGCTACACCAGGCACACAGAAACTGAATCTATATTTGCTCTTTCAGGAGGTAATGATGGACTGTTGTCCAGGGGACACCACTTTAATAAGCTCAAATAAGGGAGTATTTGGTGTGTGGGCCCTGAAGATGGAAATGACCACAAATAAAAGCCTAGAAGTTCCCACAACGTGCTGCAGCTATTTGGGGAAAGAGATTAACTTTCAGAAGGTTTAATGGACTGTGCAGCTGGGCCTTTGAGGATGGGTTGATTGTGACAGAATAAGCTAAAGAGGGCACGTGGACACTGGAAATAGCATGGGCAGAGGCCCGGGAGCTGGCAGCTCATGTGACAAAGGAAGGCCGAGCCTTCATGCAGAGCTACAGCACAGCCACTATGCATGCGCCTCACTTAGGTGAGTGTAGCCATCTGCTTAGCAAAACGGAGAAAGAACACTGAACCGTGCAGGCAGCGCCATCTCAGAGGACTGGTGAGGCAGAGTGAGATGTGCTGCTGCTTGTTAGCCCCTCACTGCCCTGAGCAAGACCCAGTGGTAATCAGTGATCTCAATCAGACTCAGTTTATTTGCACTTTTGCACAGCCAAGAGCTTTGTCCCAAGTAAAGGGCAATTCTGGGCACACTTGAGTTTGTCAGCTCTCTGTTCCTGCCCTGGGTGTGGTGCCAGGCACACAAAGATAGTCAGAAAGGGAACCTTAAGGCACCTTCCTGTGACCACTTTGTGAGGGCTGCCACCAAAGATCAGCACTGACCACCATCTCAGGTACTGCTCCCTATAACCTCACACCCTCAGGTCAATTAAAGCCCTTGCCCTTTTATGAAGGGCAAGCCTTTGGACCCTCTGTTCTACCGCTGAGTCAGAGCTCCCTATGCAGAGGTGGCTCTGTCTACACATCAATGCCCAATACAGCCCTGAGGGGCAGGATGTGGTCACTCTGGTTTGTAAATGGCTACATGGCCTAAAACATAGCACACTTTGTTTTAGTAATTGCCCCTTTGTTCACCCCAAACTTTCAGCTTTTACAAATTACTCTTAAAACAGGCTACTGTGAGTGGGCTTGGCCAAGGTCTGCCATAGGCCAATTTCTTGGCTCATGTGTCCAGAGAATCAGCCCATCTCTTTCCTAACCTGTGTTCTCTAAATGCTGACCTCCCATGTCTGCCAGTGTCCCAAAGGGCTCAGGGCTGATGGGGGCAGCTGCTGGGAAATGAGGCCCCGTGACCATCTGCAGAGCAAAACAACCTTGATAACAGGCCCACCCAAGGGAGGGGCCCAGGCTTGTTTCCAGGCCCCGTGGTATCCTAGCTCTGGCAGCTCTCTCTGCCCAGATGGCCCGGTGACCTCAGTCTCCTTCAGAACCTTCAGGACAGTGTGGCACCAAGCAAAGCTGGTGACATGCTCATCCCAGTCTGCCCACAAGAACCAAGGAGGCCCTGAGGAGTAAGTTGGTCTATGGAAGCCAGAGGATCCCTGAGCAGCTCATAGCACCCAGGACCCCACTAGACACAAAGGATAACAAAACAAGCTCTGAGGGCTCCTGTCTGGTTTTAACTTCTAGGCAGGAAGTTTATGCCTAACCAGGTGCACTTGAGCCTTAATGCCCTGTCTCCTGGTCCCAGTTCTTGCCAACGTCCCTGGCCCTCCCACCCCAAAATACAGGGCATTGCAAAGCCTTTGTCAACATTTCCAAGTTAGCTGGGAGCCCTGGAGTGTTCTAACCTATTTTTATGCCAGGTCTCTCCTCAAAGCCTAGGTTTCCTTTTACTGAGGTGTTGGGTAAAGGATCCTGCCAGCTAAAGACAAAGGTTAATGTGTTGTGAGATGGGTACACCCTCCTCAACCCCAATTAGTTCACTTTATAAACCCAATATTGGATTTGTTAAATACGCACCCTTTTACTCGGCACCTCATAGGTTGCCAACCTCCTTCACATCCAGTTTCCTTTCATGGAACCATAGAATATGCCAGGCCATTCCACACCTCTGGTGAGCTGCCCTTTACTACTTTGTCTTCATAGCAAGTATCACTCATCTTTCAACATTGCATGAGCCTTGCCACCAAGCAGAGTTACCCCCAATCCCCTTTGTGCCAACCTGTACCTGAGAAGGTCGTGTGTCATAATGCAGTTGTTCATTACCAGGGTGATGCTGCTAAATATTTAACCACCAATTCTGTGGGGGAAAGCCCTAATTTGCAGCACTGGCCAATTTCCATGGTATAAATACTCCCACCATGGTCGATTCCAAGCTACCAGTGTGATATCACTGATCATCTGGGAAGAGGCAAACAATGGGCTCCAGAGAGCCAGTGAACCAGCCCTAGCCACCTCCACGCCTCCCACTGAACTGCATGCTTCCAAGGGCAAAGGCTCTGTCTTGCTCTTTGCATTGCCAGTGCCTACCACACAGAAGTCGCTCAATAAGTTTGAGGGATCTGTGAAGACATTTTTACCCTCCATGATCTCTTCCCTTCTCAAATTATTTCCTGCTCAAATTTTTTACTTAAGGTTCTCCTGCAGTACAAGATAAAGTCCAAAGTTTCAAGCTCTTAAAAGATAGGCTTCAGCCTACTTTATTTATTTTTTTTTTTTGAGGGAAAAATAGCTTTAAGTTGAATAGACCCTTTTGAAATAAACAGCTCAGGCCAGCCCTTACAATTCTGAGGTTTATCATCAACCAGATCTAGGGTGCAAATGAAGATCAGGGTTTAGTTACTTCAAATCCAGTTTCAAGAGCAGCAGTCACCTCATTTCCAGAAAGGAAATCTCTCTAGATGACGACCATCACAGTTTTCGGAAGATGCTTAGGCAGCCAGTTTCTTGGCCTCAGTCCCACTTTCCGACACCTTGCCAGTGCCAGCGCCGGAGTCTCTGCCTTCCTCTAAAAGGCAATCAGAGCCCCACACCCAGCACTTCTCCTGGCATTTTCAAACCTCAAAAAAAAAAAAAAAAAAAAAAAAGACCTCCAGCTTCAAGTTGGCAGTTACTGCTCCAAGGTCAGAGAAGTCAATTAACACATCCTTCCTCTCACCCTCACTGCTTTCCCTCTACATCTTCAGTAGAGAATGGCAGCTTGATTAACATTCTTTTCAGAAATAGTTCAAACAATTCAAAGTTAACTGTAAAAGAGCAGAAAACAGCCACTGCCCATTATTAAGGAACTCTCTGGATTGCCTTTGCAAATGAGTGAGTGAATGAATACACGTGAACAAACACAGAAAACAACATCTCATAGAATAAAACCTGCATTTTCCACATTCACTGGGGGGGGGGGGGGGGGGGGAATCTTTTTAAAAAAGTATTAATTAGCGTTTGTTCCTATGTGGGTTGAATAGTCCAGGCTCTGAGCAGGCACAGTCTTACAAACAGGTCGCAAGCAGCCCTCCGCATACCAAGTCAGAACACTAGGTGCAGGGCCTTCATGCATGTCTGACAGCTCAGTACCTGTGAGAGAACAGGCGGTGCAGGGACTTTTAAACCCACAGTGCATGAGGTATATGAAAACGTTCGTCCATGAAAGAACCACCAGCAGCTAAGGGACTGGGCCGGGCATTCTCACAGCAACTGTTGATGAAGGATTTCCCACACCATCTTTTTCCGGAAGAGAGGCGTCTGGTGCTGAGTAAATGTGATAGGTTTGTCCCTAGACATATAATCTGCATATTTACAAGTAAACATTCCACAATCACTCCCATTCAACTCTTGAGGGATCTCATGTGGCTTCAGGCTATAGTGCGTCTACTCTAAAAGATTCAGGTCAACATTTCTTTTGGTCTTACTTTCATCCTGCAAATACTGAAGGAGAATTTCACAGATCCTGTTGCCCTTCTGTCCCATAGAATCCAGATATTTAAGACATTTTTTTCTTAGGTCTATCACCACCAGGCTCCGATGAATAGGCACCAGAACTAGTTCCTGTTCAAAGAGATTGACCGCTTTGGTCCATCTTTTCACTGCTTGGTAACCCCCAGACTTTAATTTGGGATAGAAGAAAGTACTGAATGCATGAAGTACTGGATAGCCTTGTTTTTTATTTCTTTCCATGAGAAGATTCATGTAAAAATTAATGACTTCATCATTGATCCAGTGAAAGTTCCTCAGGGTCTGGATATCCCCTCGAGTGATGCGCAATTTGAAAGCACTACTTAGGATCTCATCCTGTGGGCCATGGCCTAGGGCGTTACTGATTTCCTTTTCCATGTCCTCTGTAAGTTCAAGAAGATCATCTGTTCTTTTATCTCTCTCTTTGCCTGAGCAACTTTTTTCTTTTGTGTCAAGTGTTGAGATTTTCCTCCTGAATAAGCCATTGCTCCCACTGCCCAGGCAGAGTCGGGCTGACACTTTTTCAGACAGGTCAGGTTCCAACTGGTGTCCCCTCCTATTTTCATTTTCAAGTCTAATTCCAACTGTCTTTTCTATATCTGAAATTATCCTCTTGGAACACCTCTTTTCACTCCTCATTGGACATAGAGGTCCCCTTGTTTCAGCAGCTCTATATGGTTTTGGAACAAATTGAGTTGGTCTGATTCCATGACTTTGCTCTTCCCCCAAGCCTTTGGTCTTTAATGTATCCATGTGACATCTTTGAGAACTATGATGAGTTGAAGTGACAGGAGGAACAGAGCTTCCATGAACACCTTCTTTAAGTCGCTCCAATAACCTTCGGTACTTCTCTCGTTCCTCTTTTTGAACACCCTCCTCCACAGTACAATGGGGAAGCCTCAGACCCTTGCCACCCTCTTCAATCATCATCTCTGTTACCACCTGTTCCTGAGGTTTCCACATTAAGGAACTCTCTGGATTGCCTTTGCTATGGCGACGGCCACTTAGTCTTCTATTATAGCCTTCTGAGTTCAAAGTAAAACCAAAGGAAGGTAGGACTCTGCGAGGGTGATCTCGAGTTACTGTCACTCTGATCTTTGGATAATCACTTATTCCATTAGGAGATTTATTACCCAGTTTCAGCATGTTGTTCCAGGATCCGGAACCTGTCAGTTCACAAGATGAAGAGTTCGAAAATACCTCTCCTGAAGGGGCCGCATTCCGTGTTCCGTTACAAGCAGAAGCTACAGAAGCTACCATGGGCTTTGTGGTCAGCTGGAATGGGAATCCAAACAAGGTGGCAGCATTGTAGAGACTGTTTTTCACTTGGTGAATAAAGCAATCTAATCTTGGTCTTTTGGCTGGTATTTCATCAGTGTCCACTGTAGAAAACAGAGTGCTGTTCGAGTGCTGTCTCTTGAGCAGGGCCCGGGCAGCAGGGGGCACCGACCGGTCGCAGAGGCGGAAAATGGTGCCGAGAATCCTAACCAGCCATTAGTACATACCAAGCAGAAGCAACAGTGGTGGCCGACACACCCCGAGACGCAAACCCCAGAGCTGTCACCGCCGCTGCCGCCTTCGCCTTCGCCGCCTCGGCCACCCTCAGCCTACTTTAAAAGCACATATTCTGGGGAATCAAATCCCAGCCTTGTCACTTCATGGCTATGTAACCTTGGGCAAGTCATTTAACCTCTTTGTTTCCTTGTCTTGAAAGTGAAGGTAACAGCCGAAACTGGTATGGCTCAGTGGATAGAGCGTCGGCCTGCAGACTGAAGGGTCCCAGGTTCGATTCCGGTCAGAGGCACATCCCCGGTAGGGGGTATGCAGGAGGCAACTGATCAATGATTCTTTCTCATCGATGTTTCTAGCTCTCTGTCCCTCTCTCTTCCCCTGTAAAAAATCAATAAAATATATTGTAAAAAAAAAAAGAAAGTGGAATAACAGTACCCACCTTGTATGGTTGTTGTAAGGGTTTAACGAGGTAATATATCTATAGCTTTTTGAACAGCGTGTGGAATGTAGTGAAGTGTTACACATTATTTTCTGTTATCTTTCATTGCTCTCACTTGCCCACTCCCATAGTGTCCCCTACATAACCCATGGATTTTCTTTCTCTCTTTTTTTTAAAAAAATCCTCATCCTAGGGAGAGAAACACTAATATAAGGCCCCCCTTTTCCTAAGATCCTAGTGTTTCTAATCTAAGATGCAAGAACCTTTGAGACAAAGCCAGCCTCGAGTTCTGCCCACTGCCAGATAGTCCAGTTTCTCTCCAGAGTCTCACCCAGAACTGGAGTTCAGTGCAGTTGGGAGCTTTTGTCTCCCTCCCATTTGAAAAAGCCAACTGTGTATTTATTTGCCTGCCCTCTCCATGTGCACCTCAGTACCTGTGCCTTCCACAGTTCCTCTGAGTTTCAGTGTGCTTTTCTCTTTCCTGACAGTCCAGCTTCACCCCATATAAGTCTGGGTCCCCAAAGTTTCACCCAGAACTGGAGTTCAGCGCACTCAAGAGCTTTTTGTCTCTATCCTGCACACGCTCGTCTCAATATCTCTGCCTCCTGCAGCTTCTCTGAGTCTCAGTGTGCTTTTCTCTTTCCTTCTAGTTATAGAATTTCCACTCAGCCAGCCTTCCTATGGTTCTGGATGATGTCCATTTTGTTTTCTAGTTGTAGTTTGAAATTGTTGTGCGAGGCAGCAGTTTAGGTGTTTACCTATGCCGCCATCTTGGTTTCTCCATGAAGTCACTATCTTAACACTTAACAATCAAGTAAAGACACTAAGGCCACATAGATTAACTGGCCCAAGGGAATGAAGCCAAAAAGTGTCAGAACTAAAGTTTGAGACCAATCTGTTTGGACAGAATCCCAGAACCACCACGTTGAACAATTCCGAGGGACTCTATTCTTATAAAAAATCAAATACAATCTGACTGCTACTCCTTGCAGCTGTGCAATCCCCAATCTTATAAGGTCCCCCTTTTCCTAATCTAAGGATATAGATGCCATTTTCTAAGCCTCTTGTGGGGCAGGCATTGTTAGGCGTAGGGGCATAGACCTGAACCTGTCCTTTTGGCTGGTATTACCATTGGGAAAGACAAGCAAGTGAATAAATGATTTCTTCCACACAAAGATCCCTTCTTTGTTAGAAAGGCAAAGATAAGAGAGATGAGGGGAATGCTGAGAGAACCATGGACCACTTGGAGAGGAAATGGGACAAAGATATCCTCACCAAGAAGGAAAACCCTTATGATGGTATTAAAGGATAAGTAAAAGCTTTCTAGGCATACAAGGCAAGAAAGGAGGGGAGTTCCAGCCATATAGGACATCAGGTACAAATAATAATAACAGCTGAGATCAATTAAGGACTCATGTATCAGACATGATTCTGGGCACTGTACTTATATTATCTCATTCAGTTCTCTCCCACAACAATCCTCTGTGGTAGATACTATAACCCATTTTACAGATGACAAAACTGAGGATCAGAAAAGGTTAGTAACTCACTCAAAAAATACACAGTTGGTAAGTGGTAGAATCAAGATTCCAACTCTGATCTATTATCTCAAAAGCCTGTGGTCTCACCACTAAAATATTACCTTTGTTGTTCAGAAGCCTTGGAGTTAAAAGTCAATTACAGAGTTTTAATGTTTCCTTAATAATTTCTCTGATTTTTCCAACAGTGATTAATGGTAATCAACTCTTCACCCTTTTCTGACCAGAAGGTGAGTGCAGTATCATGTCCTGGGATACCATGGACTTGTTTGGCAGTAAGTTAGGGCAAGAGAAGATGTGCTTAGAGCTTGTTTATAGTTGGAAGGAAGCTTCTAGGGCTTGTAAAGTTTTCGGTATTTTTTGCTTTGCCTTTAAGAAAATCCAGACAAACTGGAAAGCATTTCCTCTTGAAAGGAAGGAGGATCCACAGTGAATTCAGTCCAAGTTGACTTGGTGCCCTGCTGGCCAGAGAGCCTAGTTTGGGTTAGAGTATTTTGTTCTGCTTTTTTTGAGGACCGAGTCAGCAAAATACAACCCAGAATTGTCTATTTTTCCCCGTTGCCTCATAACTCCCACATAAGACTTGCCAAAACTCACTCTCCTACCCTTGCTCTCAATTAAATTCCTCTTCGGGGTGAGACATAAGACAGAATTAAGAAGGGTTTGAAGATTTTTCCAAACTTGCCATGCACGGACAGGGTGGTTGGTATTTAAGAGAGGAGAGGTAAGAGTCAGGATTCCTGGGGTCTAGCCTTGGCTCTCTCACTTGCTTTGTGCTATTGATAGGTCTTTTAGACTCTCTGAACTCATTCCATGTATGTCAAACAATGGGGCCAATTACTCATTCAACAAACATGAATGAAGGACCTTCCACCTATAGGCACTGTGCTGAGGTCTGGGAATACTATTATAAGAGCTCCGTTTCAGGAGAGCTCTCAGTCCTGGGTTGGGAGCAACTTCGGTAATACCAGAATCAAAGAGAAGAAAAGGGAAGCCTCCTTCCCCGGATGGAAAGTCAGGTTTGGTTAAGGACATGATATCCGGGCTGGAGATGAGCTAGAGTTTAGGCTTAAGGCAATAGGCTAAAATGCACCGTGGAACCAAACTATGAAAGGTTTTGTGTGGTAAATTCATTCAATTCAATCACAAAGTATTTCCTGTTAATCTGGCACTGGGGAAACAATGCTACATCAGAGACACACCCTCCCTTTAAGGAATCACCACAGGAAAGGGTGCCAGGTGGTATTGAGAAAGAGAAGCAGTGGAATTTGAATGTAGTGAAAGCAATTCATGCAGGTATGTACCTTTCATAATCACGCAGCAACTACATAACAAAACAAGGGCCTGCCCTGATAGAGCCGGGGCTCAAATGTGGACGTTTCTCATAATTCTACGCGGCACAGCGGTGACCAGACTCAGGAAGTTTACAAGACTTTTCCTAGGGCTGTGGGATGGCAAATGGAAATAAACATGGAGAACAACATGAGCTGGGTCATCTTCAGAAGGTCAGGTCTACTCCTCTTCTTGGGAACACCCCTTAGGAGGCCTCACATTGTGGATCAGCGGTCATTTCCCAATCCAACTGAAAGGTCCTAATCAGATTATGTAGATCAGCTGTGGACAACCTTTCAGACCTCACGGACCACCAGTGGTCCCACAGACCACCAGTTGGTGACCGCTGATAAACTGTTCCCAGTCCCAACCCCCAGAAAAAGACCCAGAGAGACAGCTGATCTTTCGCCTGCCTGTTTCAGGCTTATCTTTTACATTGGTTTACTCTCTTGTACTTAACTATTCTCTCGTAATTGCCACAAAGAATCATCACCTCTTAAGAGAGAGACTTATCCTCCCACAGGACATGCTCTTACCCTCTGGTCTTAGAATATTCAGTCCCTTAGGTAAATAACGGATAAACTAGTTATAACAGAGGCTGCTGGTTGTCCCTCACTATCCATTTTCCCTACTTCCTTCTGTAAAAAACCTCATGAATTTTAGCCAGGCACTTGGACACAGAAGAAAGACCATATTCCCCAGCTTCCCTTGTAGTTAAGCGTAGCCATATCACTAAAATCTAACCAACTAGGTGTGAGAAGTGTTATGGATAACTTCTGGAGACACCCCTAAAGTCAGGAAGTGTGCCCCTCTTTGTCCCTTCCAGCTTTCTGGTGGCTGGAATAGCAGACATGTAGCAGGAGCAGCCATCTTGGACCATGAAATAAAGGCCACGTGCTAAGGATGGTAGAGCCACAATAGAGAGGGAAGCTGGGTCACTGACATCATGGAGTGCTGTACCAGCCCTGGACTGATTACCTCTACACATCTATGAGACAGAAAATAAATGTCATCCTTATTGAAGCCACTGTTTATTTTCACTTATAGACAAACCTCATCAAAACAAATACTTCCACCTTATCTGTGCAAGGGAAATTCATATAAGAGCAGGGGTATTGTTTCATTACAGGAAGGAAAGTTACCGTATTTTTCTGTGTATAAGATGCTATTGTTTTCTAAAATTATTAGACTGAAAATCCGAGGGGCATCTTTCCTCAAAGTCAGACAAGGAGGGAGCCGCACAGGTGCATAGCTGCCCATCCCTTGCCACACCGGCTTCCTCCAATCACTAGCCTTATCGTTACTGATGTCAGCTGATGCTATAA